GTTGTCATCAGGATACGGTCGATGAGAAAACGAATGAACTACTTCCTGGTGTGTCTGAGTACAGCCGACCTTCTCGTCCTGCTGATTGCCGTACCCTCGGGCCTGCAGGAGCTGTTTGGGAAGGGAACCTGGTACTTCGGGGACCCCATGTGTAAGTACCAGAGCGTAGTACACAAAGACTGGGGGTGCGTATAAGGGGGGGGGGGGGTCAGTTAACGATGACACTAGGCTGAAAGAGATATAAAAGAGACATGCTACTAAAAGATGGCTATACGTAGATTGTGAAATTTATTCTAGAGAAAAATAAAGTTGTAAAAACCTTGAATTAAATCATAAAAAAATTAATTAGGCATCCAGTTAAGTCAAATTTAATGTCATGATGCATTGTCGTCATGTCTTGACCCACATTCCAACTACGAACCGTATCTGTTAGTTAGAAGTGTGCGAAATTTTGCTAGGTCGTTTCGATCTAGACAGACAAACAGGGGAAGTGAGTTAAAGAAAAGTTTGTAAAAAGCTTTAGTTTTTGTACGAGGTTTGGTGAACCTCTGGTATGACAAAGGAGCTTGGCATTAATTTAACATTGGGTAGGAAATTTTATTAATCTTGATCATAGAGTACCCCTTTGCTTTTATACACATGTATTATATTTATTTAACCCTTTCTTTAAACTAAAGCCAAAACCAAAGCTTAAACATTAGCCTCCCTAAACCTAAACTCAACCCTAACCGTACCTCTAACCCTAATCTTAAACCTAATCGTATACCTATCCCTATACCTAATCCAAAACGTAATCGTAATAGCTTAATTCTAGACCCTAACCCCTAATACTTAAACTAAACCTAAACCTAAACCTCACCCACAGCGTTTCCCTATCTCATTCCTTATCCTTATCCTCATCCCTGTCCCAATCCCGAACCCTAATTTATTTTGTGAGTCTGTAAGAATATATGTATGGAAATAGCAGGGGCGTAGCGAGGGGGGGGGGGGCGGGGGTGCGGACCGCACCGGGTGACACCATTTAGGGGGGTGACACCAAGGCAAAAAATAGCAAAATATATAGAGAAAAACTTGAGGGGGGGGTGCAAATCGAAAGTTCGAGGGGGGGGGGGGTGCAAATCGAAAACGTGAGGGGGGGTGCAAATCGAAAATTTGAAAGTTTGTCCCCGGGAAGGGTCGCTACGCCTCAGAGGGGGGGACGACACCATTAAGTGCCGCACCGGGTGACACCCGACCTCGCTACGCCACTGGGAAATAGGGATGAAACCACAACAGTATTGATATTGTGACATACAATATATATATATATATATGTATATATGTATATATGTATATATGTATATATATATATATATATATATGTATATATATATATATATATATATATATATATATATATATATATATATATATATATATATATATATATATATATATATATATATATAAACATTTTGTGAATGATGTGCGAGGTGAACTCTCCCATTTTTGTTGTCTAGAATTTTGTTGCAACTTTCGTGCAGGAATTAAAATATTCCGTTTGATGAACTGATTATTCTCGCCCATGCATTCCTTTCCTGTCTTTAATTCCCATGTTTAAAAAAAAAAAACTATTTTATTTTACATTTCTCCCTCTAAGCTATACGAGCCTGCTTTTATTGTTGTTTTTTTTTTACCCAGCGAGAAACTGTACAATAAATGTTTAACTTAATTAATCCTATTGCACGCTTGATTATCTATTATTCTTTTCAAGCGTTTTTTTTTTTAATCAAGCGTTTTTTTTTAATTTAAAAAAAGTTTCCAAAAATAAATTGATAACATTAACATATTCTTGTTTTTGGCTGGGCATTTTTTTTTTTTTTTTTTTTTTGCGGCGAAATTTAGCGATCTGTTGAGAACTAGGTCAAGTATTTAATGGTAGAAAGTTGTCTCCCCTGCCCAATCAATGACTAAAGTGGGCCGACGTGCTCATGCGATTATCTCCCTGCATTGTACACAGACTTCCTGTTTACACCCAGAAATCAAATCACCAACATCGTGTTGACAACCACATTTTTTCCCCTATCCGCCCCATTACGGATTAAAACGCAAGCAAACGTCAAGATTATTTCACGGGCATCCTATCATCAGCACTGGATAGGCCTCTCAAGACTGAACAAATGACATTTAAAAAAAAAAAAATTCCTGACGAATGAGTATTGAGCATCTTTGCATGCTTTAATGCATCTTCTAAAATATTGTCTATAACGTAAACAAAGATTTTATGAAAGATTTTATTTTATTTCAAGAGTAGCCCCCCTATGACATAAACATAATGATAGCAGACAACCCTATACGACATAGACATATGGATGATATATGCTAATGTTAAAAAAATCTTTTTATTTTATTTTATTGGGAAAAAATGAGTTAGGGGGCGGATAAATATGCGATCTATTTTAGGCGGAGTTAGATTTTAAGGCTGTTATTCTGCGATTTAGTGCTGCTGTTTTATTGGATCTGCTAATGTAATATTACCGAGATGTAAGGTTATCGTGTTGTCGGGTACCAGGATATATGATGTCATTGTCCTACAACATCCTAGTTGACACAGTGTTATGTCAGTGACAGAACTGACAGCTGGACATGGTGGTGACCACACAAATCTATCACAAGGAGAAGTCCCAAAACAGACAAACTATACATATATATATATACATATATATATATATATATATATATATATATATATATATATATATATATATATATATATATATATGTATATATATATATATATATATATATATATATATATATATATATATATATATATATATATATATATATATACATACATAATATCCACAGTGTGATACCACCCCTTACTCTCTAAGCTGCTGCACTAGTAAATGAAGTTCCTCTAGATGTAAATGATTACAAATAATCCAATCTCAGTGTAAATACATTCAGTATCGGTTGATGAAGCTACATCCAGTTCACCAACTCCGTCAAATATCGACACCACTCACTGATGGACCGCGTGACCCGCAGTTCGCACTTTACCTCTGGTGAGGTCTCGTCCATTTTTCTCATTAAGCTGCGAAAGCTGTTATAAATAAATTTCTCAAGTATGGATTTCGACTTAACCTGAAAAAAAAATGAATTGCGGTTATAAACTTATGATTGATGACTACTCACTAGCATTCGATCTCCTGAGTAGGTTAATCGTGTGCAGAGTTCGGGAGGGGGGGGGGGGCATTTTTTGTTGTTACTAATTACTGTGATTAAGATTTCCTACAATGTCTTTAAACTTTAAACTAAAGATTATTTTTTTCAATTAAAAAAAAAAATCTTAAGAATTCCTGTTTACATTAAAAGATCAAATGTGTAGAATTCATTAGCATCCATTTTTTTTGCCGTGTTACAAAATAAATTAATTAGCATGCAAACTTCTCTATTGGAGACGGCGTGGTCGGGTGGTAGAGTGCTCGACTGCAAGCTAGCCCGAAAGTCTCGAGTTCGAATCTTAGACTCCCGTGTAAACTTTGCTTTAGTACACGCTCTTATATGTAGGCTCTACCTATCTCACATTAGGGAAAGTAAAGGCGGTTGGTATGGGCATAGTGCTGACCACACTATCCTTTCGTATGCAGAGGTCAACAAACAGATGAACCCTACTTCATCTTCACTGTGGATTACCACGCGAAATTCTCATCTGCAACCCTTTAACCTTTGAACCCACCCCCTCCCCCATACTTATCGTTATGCTCGCACGCTAATTTAATAACCGCTGCTCGAATCGATACCATTTCAAAAAACCACAAATCGAAGTATCGATACACTAAACAATAGACTGCTTGTACCCTATGACAGAATAGAACTGGATGCTGTTTACTACAAACGTAATTCACGAAGCAAATAAACAAAAAAACATGAACGAATTGTGGGAAACTATATGCTTATTACCCTCAATCAAAAACCTCACATAAATACAATCAACCGTCTAAAGTCGTAATCTAAAAAGTCTGATAGGGAAAAATAAAACTACAACGAAACAAACCGTGCACTTTTATAGTATCGATTGGGGGAGGGGGTTAACGAACCTTGAAAGGCCCTATTATATTTATTTGTTTGCGATCTGCCTCGCGTGATGGGTGGGTTGTTTTTGACCCCGTTTGTTTAATCTGATAGTGTTGAGCTTGAGTGGGTTCTAGACTTTTGTGGAACTTACTGCGACTGACGGGACTCGGAGCGAAAACAATACGTGTCACGTGGTAGTGTTGGTTTGTTTTAAGAACTATTAGAACTATTTTGCTGGATTGTAAAGGGAACATGGTGTATATTAGTTAAAGGAAGATGTTGCGGGCTTATTAGTTGAATATGTTGCGTGCTAGGTACAGGAACAAGTTGCGTTTACGTACAGGAAAAAAGCTGCGGGTAAGGTACAGGAACATGTTGCGGGCTTGTTACTGGAACATGTTGCGGGCTTGTTACTGGAACATGTTGCGGGCTTGTTACTGGAACATGTTGCGGGCTTGTTACTGGAACATGTTGCGGGCTTGTTACTGGAACATGTTGCGGGCTTGTTACTGGAACATGTTGCGGGCTTGTTACTGGAACATGTTGCGGGCTTGTTACTGGAACATGTTGCGGGATTGTTACTGGAACATGTTGCGGGATTGTTACTGGAACATGTTGCGGGCTTGTTACTGGAACATGTTGCGGGCTTGTTACTGGAACATGTTGCGGGCTTGTTACTGGAACATGTTGCGGGCTTGTTACTGGAACATGTTGCGGGCTTGTTACTGGAACATGTTGCGGGCTTGTTACTGGAACATGTTATATGCTGCGTTTTGTTACGGGAACATGTTACATGTAATTAAGGTAACATGTTACAAACAGATATAAGAACAGGTCATATAGTTTAGTTTTTGTGACAATTCGTGTAATAGTTAGGAGAGAGCAATGGTTGTTCGACAGTTATCTTCCTTGACTTATATATACAAACTATGTTTTTTTTTCGTTTAAATATAAGCCCTGTAATTTTACGGGGCTTATAAAGCGGTACCAATAAAGGTTTTAAAATCCGACGTGTCTAGAGTTTTAAGTATTTTTTTTTCCAATTCTCAATACCTTTTATAATTTTTATTTTATTTTATTAAAACGATT